TTCTTTTAGAGTTTAGAACGTTTTTATCATGTGCAACAAGTTTTAAATAAATCATGCATGAAATAATAAAATCGTGATACCACTATACCGATATAATTATAGTAAGTTTCTTTATAAATTTCTCGGATATTTGAATATAAAAAACGGTCAACAGCGAATGCTTACAAAACTTGACGAAACTGGAGCAGTGCTCAATGCAGCGGAAAAAAAAATCGCACGGGAATTGTGTAAGGTTTCGGTCGATTTGAACGGGAAAGTTACCCCGTGGGTTTCGATTAAGGTCGTTGACATCACAATTGGCAGTCATAATTTTAATTACGAATTTCGCAACAGCCGCGTTGTTTTTATATCGTCCCGTGACCCGCGTGTTCGTCAATAAAATGATAAATTCACAAAGGTTTCTTTGTACAAATAAATAAAAAATGTCTTTGGTAGTTTACAATTCATAAGAAACGAAGTAATAAAAACGCTGCCCACATCAAGAAGGGCTCCATTCACAATCAAATATAATTAACACTGAAGTTACAATCGAGGAATACTAATTAAGATACAGGAGTCAGTTCTTACGGCGGAGACATTTACATGAACACATTAATTCATTAATTGGCCACATTCGAATTCAAGACGATACAGAGTCCGTACTGACAAACAATAATTCACACCTTTTTAATTGGTAGCAGCACTTACTGCATTCATTACGATCAATGGAATTAATTATGGAAAGTTTATATAAATAAATTGTATGTAGATGAGGGAAGTGGGAAAAAAAAGTATTGTTTATAGACGTGAAATGACAAGAATCAACTCATCGACGGATATTTAACATTAAAATTGTCTTGTAAATAATTTTGGGTTAATTATTCCAAACTTTCACGAACCCACTTTATAATACGGAGGTCGACTTTCTGTTTCGTTTCCTCCGATAAATTCGATCGTGTGAGTTATTCGATAGTTTACATCGATATGTACAAACCCGTAAGGACATTTACTTTTTAATGTTACAATCGAATAAACTTGAAACTTTAGACCTCGTATCGATCATTCGATATTCTCGATAGTGAGTATCGATAACAATGGCCGATTTTTATTGCATTTAAGAGATTATCTTGCATGTGTCGTGTTGTAACTTACGTTTAACTCGAGGTCAAGATGAATACACTTAGCGTTTTAATTTTAGACAACACTTTGTGATGTTCCTGATGTGAACAATTGAATAAGGAATCAATAGCCGTGTCGAATTCTTAGGAAATTCTGTCACTTAAACTTTCCTGAGTTTCTATTTAAAATAGTAAACAAACAAAGCCTTTTATTACCTTAAAAAAATTTGTATTTCACCATGAATTTCTAAAATAACATGAATTAGAGTAGCACACTGTTTATTTTGCTAAATAAGCTAAGACTCGAAAAAGATAGCATTAAGTTGAAAGAGCTTTGATTTTCAGAAGTTCAATCAGTTGCGTTATATGAAATAAAGCTAATCTAAGAACGAAGTTTCGAATAAAAGTTGTTTCGAAGAAAATGGCCTAAACATATTCTTTTTGAAAGATAAAGTGCATAAACAGTAATACTTCTAGCTTTTTAAAGATATAAACTAACTGATAATAGCGTGATGTTCTTGAAACAGCAACTTTACAATTATTCTAACTTGGATACGTCAAAGAACGCCTGCGAAACTTAGTTTGATATTAACCAAATCAATGACTATGAACATAATTATTTTTAACACGTGCGAAGGCTATATAGTTTTATTCGAAAACATTATGAGCCAGTTAAAAACCAATCTAGACCCGCACCATAACAGATATAAAAATTAAGAAAATACCAAACTCATGAGCAACTCACGGTTTCCGATTGGTATAAAGATTAAATTTATTATTTCTCTTTAACCTTCGATACATTATTAATGAATATAAACAGTTAACAATCCCAACATTACCCAAATGTCACGGTCCGGTTACGTGTACATTGTGTTAAAACATAAAAATTTTATCTCGACAAATGTTAAAATCACGACTTTTATTTATGGGAAACACATATATATTTACATTTACAAATCTCGCGTTATTCGGAAATTTATAACAGACTTATATACATATTTTGTACTAATTTTTTTGTGTCAGTTCACTAGTATTTCATAGAGTAATCGCCTGTAAAAGAAAACAATGGCAGCGATTGAACTGGCAACATTCGTTGGAACAAATACTGTTGTCCCATTTTGACGTCAATTGGCAGGCATGTTGTGTTGTGTAAAGGGAATTTAAAATAGGGATTAGTACGGAAATATTAATATATTGAACATCAATAAGTGATAGGATTAAGATATACATAGATACAGTTTGAAATGATGCTATATAAAGAGATGGGTTCAAAATATATGTGATTATCAATATCAGAAATGAACACAAAAATTTTATTGTTCATTTTAAACTTTAATACATTATTGTAACATATATTTTTTTAAATATAGAAATCTTATAAGTATTCTTGTATAAAAAGAATTTATATGTGTGTAAACTTAGCCAATTAGATCATAATATTTCAATTTTGATTTAGTTTTTTTAGTTCTCGGTTAAATCTTGTATAAGAATTGGTACTGAAATTCCAAATTCCGGATTTGCGTAGGATTTAGAAAACTAAAATAGTGTGTTATAAGTCAGCTAACAAAATCGTTTTCCCACACCTGTACATTGTAAATTATTTTGTAAACATCACAAACAAAACTCAGAAGTAATAGAAAATAGAAGTGATCAAAAGATCTTGTTAATATCAAAGATTTGATACATCATTCAACTCGCCGCGTTTAATTTACAGTGGATAATAAAATATAAAATTCTTTAAAATAATTGTATTTGACCTGTTGCACCCGATGTAACAAAAGTCATTACATACGTCCATCAGAAGTTACCACATAGTAAAACATGCTCAAAAGCCCGTGTAGAAAAACCTTTAAAAGTGCTTGACCAATTTAAAGTTACGCAACATAAAGTGGAATTGAAGTAAGCTGTTGAAATTAAAATACGTAGGTTAGTTAAAGCCATTATCGTTCAGCCCACATCCAACACATATGTTGGTAACAGAAAAAAAATCAAAAACATATGTATATATAAATGAATTGATTGTAATTTATTTTTCTTGGAATACATTATTCTAAATAATCGTCATTGATACAATATGAGTATACACGAACATCTGCTTGTAAAAACAATTTTTATATTTCAAGAATTCTAAGAAAATAATAAAAAAAGAAAATGTAAACTTACCTGAATAGATTTTGTAAAGCGATTCCAACAATCCTTGCATCATTTTTGATGATTTTTCTCTAACATATGATCACGAAATAAACTAAATAAATCCCATCATTTAGCGTTTGATTATTAAGAACAGCATGACATCATTAAGCATCACATAATGATATGTGTCCCGTCATCAAGACTATCCGGGGAAACCTGTAATACGTCGAATATAAGGACATCACTGATCAATCCATTAAGAGGAAATTACTTCTTCCATAAAGATGAACGACCAAATCTATTGGTGGCAATGTTCAAAACGAAGTAACGGTATTAACAGCTGTTGCTGGTACTTCATCATCGATCAGTTTTGCGTAACTATCAGTTAGCAATTACATCGTACAGTTTTCCAAACCAATGATTGTAAGGAATGCAACATAACAGTTAGAATGGATGGCCGATGCAAAAAATATATTACATTACATGACATACCGACATTCCTGAATGATAAAATATTATGTTGGAACATTGACGTTCTAATTAGCTCTGAATTATACTTAGTGGAAATAGTGAAAAATAGAAAGAAATAAACATATTTCACTGGAACATTTCAATGTGACATACGGACGTGCCAAAAACGATGTTCAGGTAAATGGGAACACTAATGAGACAGAACATGGTGGTCCAGTAAAATTAAACTAAACTACATATAGCACGAGCTCGTATCAGCTAACACTTCATTTTAGAAGAAGAAGAATGGAATAATATAAAAATATGTGAATAACAATTAACACATATATAACAAGAACCAATTTAAATCGACTCAATGGATGAATGTACAGCGCGGAAGACGAGATCAGTGACATACTTGAACGTCTCAATTTATTTATGGACAACTGATCAACATTCAACAGTTTAAGTTACATTATTAACTGTTAATATAATTATCTTATGGTATATATCTCAAACAGCATGTCAGATGCTAGGTTACATTATGTCCAGACCACTATTCATCATTGCCAGAGAGAAAGCACCGGCCGTACTTCATTTATAACGAGAAAGGAGTTTCACGAATGTGACGAATCATTTCTCTCCCAAACGATCCAGATATATCTATATATTATTCAGTCTCTGAATGGCACACAACTGTAAAAAATATTCCGCAACAATCAACGCAAAAAAAAAAACTGAACAATAGAAGGGTTTAATTTGACGAATCTCTATGATGGCAAGAATTATTATAACTGGTTAAAAATCACTATCACATAGATATGAACGTATCATCACTAGATCACATCACATCACGCAATACTCATGATGGTGAACATATCGTTTGTTATATGTTAATCGTGTGAGTGGCTCCCGGCAGGGTACCATCTCGGTATGCGCGCCCGCGCCGTCCGCGGTCTATCGCACCGCCGCCGCCACTGGCGTGCCGGGATTATTTATAAATTCACTGAGACAGGGGGTCGTAGAATTCGCACAACTTATGGTATTCAAATGCCCGGGAATGAATCAGGTCGAACCGGAAACTGAAGTTTTCAGAACTTCTACATTTGTACTTCGCTGATCTTAGATTATTATTTATTATACCTACTAAATACTTTCCTATAAAAAATATAAATCGTAACTACCTCTACGGAATAGTACAAAGAACATGGCAACCAAATCTTCAAATTTTTATAACTTTTCTTCATTGGGAACATTTTTGGCTATTGACCCGTAGATTTAAAATTTATTCCACTAAAACTGACAGTTAATATATTTCACCTGGGCATTAAATCAACGTCTATCACCGTTACACCCACCTCAACAGGTGGGATACTCTTCGGATCAACTTCTGAATTTCTCGGATTTCGGTGACGTACGACCAACAATTCATCTTTATTAATATACATACTTAATACTCATACTTCTTCTTTCGAACCAACAGTCACCAGTTATGCAAATTAATTGCATACAATAACTTCAAATATCATGGACTCGGATTAACGAAAAAGGTAGGAAGAATGACAAATGCTAAGATTACAATGAGTCAGACATCAATGCAACAAAAGAGTCACTTGGCACTGTAACGATACCAATTCATAGTTTCATGACAATCGACGTCTAAATATAAAACAATAGGATGCTAATGTTATTTATTCTAAAAAAAAATCTTTCGCCTGCTCATATTTCCTAGTCTCTATCTGTATCTAGAAAATATATCATGAAGAATTAAAACTATAAGCTGTAATACTAATAATATTACTCCAATTTAATAAGATAAAAAACGACGATTAGTAGGAGACATTTTCAGGAAGATATTTAGTTGCAAAAATCTTGGCATCGGTTTCTGTCTACACAAAATTCCAGACGGAGGCATATCGACTATAATATCTAAGTTTCCTATAAGTTATATCATTCGTTCATTCACTCGATCACTACTATTCATTTCTCCATGAGTTCAGTAAGAGTCGTATTATCATTCACTTGAGTAAGACTGGACAACTGACGGCGTCTGACGTCACAGCTGTTTCATTGTAAGTTTTATTGGTCATAAAGCATTCTGAAATTCACATCATAAATCTACTATTTTAAGCATACCGTGTAGTTACATGAATAAAAAATTATAAAATATTGTTTTAAAAAATAATCCAAGGTCGTAAAAACTAAACCGTGCTGGATTATAGTACGGAATGAGTTATGGTGGCTTACAAATAATTCTTTTCATGTCATAATCGTCGGACTGTTTTTTTGTATCCTCGGTAGTTAAGATCGCTAACATGTTTTGTTTATCTGTTTTCTGGTTTACATACTAACGATAGGTCGTTAACATTTTTTTTGTTTATTCAAACTAAGGTTTACGAATACCTTGGCCTTTACATTAGATACCAGACATACAAAAAGTTTGAAATTCGTCTAAATATATTTTAAAACTTATAAGAATATCACGACAATATTTTATACATTATGTCAAAAAGTATATTAGTTAATATATAGACTTACGTTGTAAAATTTTCTAATTAAAGGATTATTTAAAGTAACTTGTACTCATGGAATTCTTAGAAACTAATACAATATGAAATGGACTGCCTTATAATTCTTGACTGCATTCAACTTTTCATGTTCAAACTGGTCCTAAGTTATCTATAGTTGTATGTACTATAAATTTTTGTTATTCTTCATGCAACTAAAAACTTATAAAAATGTACAACAAATAACTTTATACGTGCATAAGAAAAATAATACTAAATATTAAGAAAATTTTATTGAAAATTCCTATCGTAAATATGCCTAGTAGTTAAATAATCAATTCTTTTTGAATTCCCAACCAAGATTCTATACGCTATGAGTACATACAGCGTCGACAGAGATGAAATCTTAATGTCAATGTTTACTGAGCCTGTATGTATACAAACAGAGCATCATTCAATACCTGGTTCAGTTCGTGAAATAAACAGAATTCGTTTAAATAAATATAGAAATGAGATCAAATCAATACCAAATTAAGTTAAATATTCCCATACAAAACCAATAATTTTCAAGGAATATATGCAGGCTACAATTTAAAGTATGTATATACACTAATCAATATATCTTTTTTATAGGTGTCGTTCTCTTACAACTCTTTAGAGGTGGTAGAGCCTAGCTGTAGTCAATTTACTACAGATCGAACATGGGCTGGCTCGACCGGGGAAGTACCACCCTCTCACAGAAAATCGGCGTGAAGTAGTCTTTAATGGCTGCGTTTCGTCCGGTGAGTGAGAGAGCCGGTTGCCCTTTCCCTTTTCCCAACCTTTCCTTTCCCTCCCTTTCCCACCTTTTCCTCCTCGTTTTCCCTAATCAAGGGCGGCAATACATCCGCAAATCTACGTTGCGGATGTCCATGGGCGACGGTAACTACCTACCATCAAGTAGGCCGTCTGCTCAGTTGCCCCCTTTTCCCATAAAAAAAAAAATCTTTATTGAATTATACTGCCTTTATTATCTGTCAGCAAAACCGTTTTTACTTTTCTATGAAAATAACACGTCTACCTAATAGTGCATTGAATAAATTCATAAAATACAAACTACGAAATAAAATACTTAATTTGATCACTAAAATAATTTTATAGCCAATTCGGTGCACAAATTACTGCAATGATAGTTAAATAAAGTGAAATCGTTTGACCAATTACAAGGTAGTAATATGACTTGGATTCGAATAATGTTGGTGATTCCTGTTCAACTAGAAATGTGAAGTATTCGTGTAGTATAAAATTACCTTTTTATAAGCGTAATAATCTGGTAAATAGTTCTAAATTGTAACATCCTGTATTAACAACATCACACATTCAACATATGACCAATTTGAGGTAATGGGGTCATATCAATTGTGATTTGTGACATTACGAAAACGAGGAACAAATGCTTCTATATAAATATATACAAGACATAATATTTTTCCTTAACAAAGTTCAATCCGATATGGTCTAGTGGCTAGGATACCTGGCCTTCACCCAGGAGGCTTACATTCGATTCCCGGTATCGGAAATATATTTTTATTTGGAAATATATCTTGTCACCTTTTGTCTATTTGAATAGGTAATTTAAGTACTGTATGTAGTGTTCCCATAATTTACTTATAGACATATAATACAATGTTATCAATTTTAAAGCCGTCTCAAGTATTCGCAGGTGTTATTAATACACCTTAAACCATAAGGGCATTCCACCCCAGCGCTACGTGGCCACAATGGGTGCTAGGCATTTTATTACTCATGAGCGCAGTCGTAAACAATTCGAAATAGACGGTTCCTTGGGCCGACGGGAACGTTAAAATTTTATCGGATCCACGAGCTACTTTCCTTCTCAAAATATTGGATTCGATGGAAGATATCACATAGAGACTATATCGAGTATCGACCCTATAGGAATTACTAGCCTTCATAATAAATACTATATCTGAGATTAAAATTTATATATATATGTATTCAATACACACAAATAAAAGATTTAAATCGGAAATAAAATTTAATAGCTTCGTATTGAATTAATTGGGTTATTATAAATGTTTATGTGTAATATAATTGTAAGCACTTCCTCTAAATCATAAGACATAGAATGCATTAGTACTTATTTACTATTGCATGCAAGTAATGTTATGTATTGAACATGCAAGTAAAAATATGGAAATAAAATACATTTTGTAATAATATGGCCACCTGCTTAAAGAAAAATGTATGATAAATATATGGTATTGAAGTTTCGTCAAAACATATTCTGTATAAGAACTACCAAACATCACTGCATACTAAAAAGAATTACGTAAAACGAGAAAACAAAAATCAAATATTCCCATCTAATCTCATATCTATAGCATCATCCGATATGGTCTAGTGGCTAGGATACCTGGCTCTCACCCAGGAGGCTCGGGTTCGATTCCCGGTATCGGAATAACTTTTTTTTTAATTTTCACATACAAATAACGAGCTCTCATTCAATACCGACCTTCACTTTTAAACTGATTTAATATTAAATTATTTTATTGGCAAAAAAATATATCCTTGGCCAATTAACGTTAAAATAAGTTAAAGTTCTGTAAAAATATTTTTATTGGTTTCATTATTTGTTGACGTGTCACTATTGGGAAGTCTGATTTTTATCGATATAAATTAACATTAATTAAAATTAATGAACATTCTTATAGCGAACATTTAAACTGTATCTGGGTCAAGAGTTGTAAGAGCGGGGATCTTATAGATTAAAATGATCCTTCTAGAACAATGAGAATTTATTATCTATAGATATATTTGATAATAATGTGATTTCAGAGAAAGATTTGTTACGATTAATAGCAATAATTATAACAAAAATATTTCGTCTATTATTCATTAATAGGTCTTTTACACCATTATTACAAAATATACAATTATATTACGCATACATTTTAAATAGATACAGATATTTAACAATGAATGTGAACACATGATAGTTTTGGCCTCGTTGTCTTAATTATACCTTTTATAACTTCTAATTAGTCGGAAATTGTCTTGATGTTAGAGCACTTAATGGCACACTATACTCTAAACAGACACGTTACAAAAACTCATTAAAATTTCAGTTTGATGCGATCGCTGTATACTTATATGTAATTCGCATTTAATGTTATCAATTATGCCATATATATTATATCTATTACGTATATCTGTATAAATATTGCATATTAAAAGCTATTAATATTAATACGGGATTCTGTGAAACGGACATTCTTTAAGAGATATTCGTATAGCTAAAACCTAATAAGCAAGGAATAAATATATTTCCTAACCACAATACATGATCATCAAGCTTCTATAGTGCTAAGTTATTTGTATAAAGGCCTATCCTTGGTGGTCACTGGTCGCCACCAACTTCCGACATCCACACTCCCCATCGTAATATTATCCTTTCTAACTTCCTAGCTGAATATCAAATGACCAGGACGATTGACTGATTAATACATATCAATTTATACATTATCACAAACTAAATCTCAAAAAATCTTTTCACAACCAAATACTTAAGTCCAATTAAAATCTTTACGAAACTATAAAAACTCACGCCCATAAAAGTATCAGCGTTTAAAGAATTTTTATAACCAAGAAAGTTATTCAGACGGGCGAAAAATTAAAAAACAATTAACAAATAATAAAAGGGCAGGGAAATTAAAAACTAATTAACGTGGAAGCGATGGAACGCTGAGACGCGGGTACATCAACGAAAGATGCTGAAGAATGCTATATTTGTTAATTAGCGTGCTTTACACTTTCACTTACATTAAAGTATTTGTACGTCTGTGATAGGGACCGCTGTGTTTTACAACACATGCTCCTAAGGTCAACCATCGCTGGTCACAACACCCATTTCTCTTCGTTTACGGAGGTGACAGCTGCCA